TAAAAAACTCTGTTTTGTGGGCCCCCAAAAGGGGGGGGGGGGGGGGGTGCGGCGGGCAGCACCAGAAACGTGGCACAGCTTTCTTTCCTTTCTTTCTTTTCGCTGGCAGCAAGTGGGAGGAGACAAGGCTGCATCTGCCTTGAGACAGATCAACAAGTGGGGGAGGGTGGGACCTGACGGTGCAGGGAGTGAGGGGGCACATTCAACATGGAATTCTCCAAGTCTAAGCTACCCACTATTTTCAGTCATGCATTTCCCCCCACGTTAAGCACCACGTCCCTGCAACTGTTAAAAATAGCCCATGGTGGTTCACAACCACTGCAATAGGTTTGAAACTCGCAACACAAAAGTGTCACTTGAAGGAACTATGGAGAAAGAAATTATGTCTTCCTTGGAAAATAACCAGGGTTTCATGCATCCAGCAAAAATAAGAAGCAAAAAAAATGATGCTTCCCGGGGGCAGCCCAATACTGACAGCATTACACGTAGAGCAAGATTGTCCACATCACCTCATTTCCCAGGAAGCTAAGGAAATGGCAGGCATTTGTCTCACAGCCCCTACTCCGCAAAGCCTGCAATGTGGGACACAGGCCTGTTAACATTTCAAAGCTACAGGAGAGCAAAGATGAAAATCCAAATGCCTTGTGCAGCAAGGCCTGTAATTATTCCCACAGTGCTAAATATAGTTCACAGGAATCTTTGGCCTAATCTCCACAAACTGCAGATGCCTTGGTAAACCTGGGTCTGCATTGTGTCACTCAGGGTTCACATGGTCCTGTGCCCCCTCCATACAAAAAGCAACCACCAGTTAACAGAAAGCTAGCGACATTCAGAAGGGTTTGAAGGCTGGCCTTCTTGAAATGAAACCGTGGATATTTACTATGAGGCTTCCTTCTGCTCCAGGGCTGCGGTGGCTGAAGTGGTTAAGACGCTGAACTACAGACCAAAAGGTTGGTAAGTTCAGCAGTTCGAGACTCAAGTGCTTCCGTCTCTGGCCCCAGCTCCTGCCAACCTAGCAGTTCGAAAGCAAGAAACTGCAAGTAGATAAATAGGTACCGCTTTGGTGGGAAGGTAACAGTGTTCCATGCACCTTGGCATCTAGTCATGCAGGCCACATGACCACGGAAATGTCTTTGGACAGCGCTGGCTCTTCTGCTTGGAAACGGAGATGAGCACCACATCCCTAGAGTCGGATTCGACTGGTTTTCGAGCAAGGGAAACCTTGACCTTTCTTCTGCTTTGATGTCAGGAGAGCATCTTGGAATGGGTGATTCCTAGTAATTGCTCAGGGAGGCAGGAACAATTTCTTCAGCTACCTGTCTCCTGAGTTTCAGTTTGGTTACTTCACAAGCTAATGAACCCAATAACAGGATGGAGCATAACAGAGAAGAAACAGTGACCAAAACAGGTAAGTCACAGTTAAAAGCAAATGTGTAAGAGGGGGATAACAGAGGGCTAGAGCAAGAATGCATCTTCCCAATGCAACTTGATAGATTTGATCAGACTCATGGTCCCGCTCTTCGTAAATGCTCCTCTTTTCACTAGTGGGCGGATGGGGGAGAAGATGCTCTCCTAACCTCAGAGCTGAAGGAACCCTCAACAGTAGGTATCCAAGGTTCCATTCCTGCTCTGAGGAGGAGGACATCTAGGAAAGGGACTTCCAACAGCAGTGCCCCAAGTGACAGGTGGGAATAAATGATCTTCATCCACATGCTGAAGTAATCTGCATCCAAAGGTAGCATTGACCAAAGAGAAGGTGTCAAACAAAGGTTGATATCGAAGACCATGTGGTCACTTTGCATATTTCTTCCACTGCAGCTTGATGGTCAAAAGCTGTGTTACTGGATGCACTTCTCACAGAGTGGGCTGTGATCCCTGCTGGAACCAGGATGTTACTTGCGTTAAAGGCATGGACGATCCACTGGCAAATGGTGCTGCTGATAGCTGATCTGGACATCTTCCCTATATTAGAGGCTGTTAAAGAAAAGAGAGTCCATCTTCCTGACTCAGTATACCAGAGGTAGATTCTGAAGGCCCTCAGAGGTCTAAGGAGTGCATCTCCCTCTCCTTGGCGTAGCTCAAACATGGACGGAAGGATGGGAGATGGACATCTTGACCAGTGTTCCCTCTAAGCTGAGTTAGTGTGAGCTAGCTCACAGGTTTTTTAGCCTCCGGCTCACACATTTTTGTCTTAGCTCAGGAAGGATGGCTCCAGAGCAAACTAATTTATGCAGCAGCCAAATTGCTCGCTCTCACCTTTAATGCCAGTAGCTCATAAAGTAGAATTTTTGCTCAGAAGACTCCCCGGCTTAGAGGGAGCATTGGTCTTGACTCCTGTAAAAGGC